GCCCAGGGGGTCCTGCAGAGACTGATGCACCAACCGAGGACTATGCATGGAGAGGACCTAGACCCCTTGCTCAGATGTAGCCAATTGGCAGTTCAGTCTCCATGGGGCTTCTCGAGCAAGGGGAGCAGGGGCTGCCTCTGTCATGAACTCAGTTGCCTGCTCTTTGATCACTTGCTCCTGGTACCTTACCAGGCCACAGAGGAAGAGGATCCAGGCAGTCCTGATGAGACTTGATGGGTTATGAGCAGATGGCAGAGGAGGAGAACTCCCCCTTTCAGTGAACTAGGGGAAGGGGATGGAGGGGAGAGAGAGACAGGGTAGGACTGGGAGGAGTTGGGGAAGGGAGCTTCAATCAGGATATATAATGAATAAATTCTAAATAAAATAAAATAAAATAAAAATTTTAAAGAAAGAAATTTCTCCGGGTGAGTAGAATGTGCAGCCAAGAGCTAGAATGATCTTTCTACTCTGACACTGATGGAGACACTGTAGCTGTTCCCATCACCAAACAGAAGACAAGCCAGTCCAACTCTCACCGAGAGTACATGTTCTCCTACCACTGCCCCTCTCTCCTGGAGATGTATGCTCTCACACCCTGCTGCATCTCCTGACAGGAAGCTTAGTTTTCTGGGACACCTTGTCCTCACTCACGTGGAAGACCTGAAGGAAGACTGCGCGGTCTCTACTGCAGTACACTGTAAGATGTAGCCGTAAAGTGGGACAAGATACGTTAGACACATATGTCAGGTGGATGCAGCTAGTCTCTTCTCCTTTATTATTAATGTTTGGTGGAAATGAGGTGGGAGCCCGAGCAAATGGTAAATAATCAGCAAAGAAACAAACATCTTGAAAGTAGAAAGGGATCCAATGCAGGGGAGTTAAGAGCAGGTAGTGGGGTGGGATGAACGCAATCACAGTACATTCTAAATGTTTATAAAAACATCACAGTGAAACCTATGATTTTGTATGACTAACACAAGCTAATAGAAGTGTTTAAAAAAGACTTGTCTTAAATGCTAACTTTATAGTTCGACATGTTGACCTAAGATGTGATTAAGAAGTGAATGAAGAAATCTCTCACATATTGGAGTCTGAGAAAATAAATATGATGTTATGTTGAGGTTCAGGCAAAATAAAAATGCTTCGTCAGTTAGGGACATGGGGGCAGGAACGACTCCTCCATGTCTTTGCATTTTTACTATACAGGGGAGAGGAGAGCCCTCCTCCTGAAAGGAAGCCTTTGACTGTGGGAGAGGAAGAAGCAGTGAAGGGCTCAGGAAGCTGGGTAGAACCTGAAGATGTGGGCCTAGGAATAAAAAGTGTTAGAATATGTAATGGCCTAAGCAAAGATGAGACATAAGAAACTGGAGGAAGGACAGAGAGGAGAGGGCATGAAGCTCCATTTCCTCCTCGTGTGGAGGAGGACAGGAGACGCCAGCCCTCGAAATGCTCTGTGGCTTTGATAGCTTTGGAACTATCAGACAGCACCTTGGCAGCAGCGCAGGCTGGCCTTGAACTTGTGGTCTTCCTGTCTTTGCTTCCCTCATCCTGGGATTACAGTACTACAATACCAAATGGCGGATGCTTCGTTTATGTATTTATTATGTGCGTATGGAGGGTGCATATATTCATGGATATGTGCTTGTACATGTACCGTGTGTGCCTGCGTGCATGTGTGTCTGTGTCCACGTGTGTGTATACATATGTGTATATGTGCCAGGTGTTTTCCTCTATCACCCCCACCTTGTGTTTTGAGGCAGAGTCTGTATCTGAGCCTGGAGCTCACTGATTAGCTAGAGTGGCCAGCTCTGGGCATCCTCCTTTCCCCATCTCCCCAGTGCGAGGGCTGTAGACACATGCCACCACAGTCAGATTTTACATGGATTCTGGGCATGCAAACTGTGCTCCCCATTCTTGGGCAGCAGTCTCTTTACTAACTGAGTCATCTCCTCAGCCCCCAGTTGTTTGCTTTTTCACAACATAACCGGAGGTGTCCTGTGGGCTGAGCATCAGATACAGATATATCAGTTGTGCAGGGATATATTACAGACTTGAACGGTCCCAAATTAGATTTTATAGAGGGAAACATGGAGGTAACCGTTTCTATGAGACCAAGGTTTGGTTGCCTGCTATTTCCTATATCAATAATTTTGCCTCAATTAAGAAAAGGATAACATCAGGCCTGAGCAAGTTAAGAGTGAATTTGCATCTGATGATGAGGAATATCTTTGCTAACAAGAAGGGAGCAACATGCACACATCATTTCTCAGGAGTCTTGGAAGAGGCAGCCTCACAGCTCAGGACCCATGGAACCCTGGAAGCTCAGCAGCTGTGCAGTGCAGCTGGCAGCCATCACTATGGCAACATCCCCTTGAAGCAGAGCAACTTGGTCCATGGAAACCAACCATCATTTAAAAATTAACACAGATCATCCGCATTGGATCCCGCACGGCAAAAACCATTTTTATAGAAATGCCCTTTCTAAGGGCATAATTGCAATGAGGGAGCGGATTTGAATATAGATTGTGAACTGGACGGGTGCTTCTCAAACGTGAGCTTGTTTCAGACTCACCTGGGGAGCTTGTCAGAACACAGATGGCTGAGCCCCGCCCCCACAAAGGCTGACTCAGTATGGCTAGGCTTCAGGCCAGGCCTCTGTGTTTCTACCAAGCGAAGCAGATGCCGCAGATGTGAGATTCCACCTGAGAATCACAGTGGCCTACATTCTCACTCTGTCTCAGTGCTAAGTTCCTGAGTTTTTATCACTTTACTGTAGGGCCCGTGGCCTTAGAAAATACAGTAGTTATTTGGGACAAGGGAGCATTCGGTCTGGAGCTCTGTGTTACCTCTCTGTTGCTGTGACAAAATGCCTGGGAAGATCAACTTAAAAGCAGGAAAGACTTATTTTAACTCGTGGTTTCAGGGGTTCCAGTCAGTGGTCAGTTGACTCTGTTACTTTGGGGCTGTAGTGAGGGGGATCATTATGGAGGGAGCACATCGCCGGGAGAAGCTACTCATGCCCTGGTAGCATGAGGAAAGAATGAGGAGGAGGCAAGCACTCTGATGCCACCTTCAAAGGAATGACAGCAACGTCCTAACCAATGTCCCAAGGCCCTACTTTCTAGAGTGTCCATCACTTTCCAATAAATAGCACCTAAGGCTCTGTATCACCTGGACCTTTGGGAGATGATCACACAGTTCAAGATGAAAAACTACATCATGTTTATTCTCAAGCAGTTCAGGAAGAGGCTAGATAGAGTGTGTATAAATGGAAAAAAGAAATGACGCAGCAGATGTGAGATATGGAGAAAAAGAGATGTGAGGGACCACTGTGGTAACCTCACAACCTGTCTGGTAGCTCAAAATTACAGTAAAAAAAAAAATTTTTAAATCAAAATTAATCTGGGAAAAGAAAGTTAGAGGATGTCATCTAAGCCTTTTGCACACAGCAGACACAAGCTGTCCATGCCACTTCATTTTAAATTAATTAAAAATAAACACTTCCTTAATTTCACTAACAAAACTTCCAAGACAAAAGCCAGTGTGACTAGAGGCGACTACAGCAGAAGGCAGCACGGGTTCAGGCCACTTCAGTTCCCCAGCAACCCCTACTGAGCAATGCTGACCTCAGTTTAAGATGCTTTAAGATAAGAAAAGCGTCTTAAAGAAAAGTTAGTGTGCCCCAGGTGTGGTGGCCAATACCTACAATCTCAGCTCCTGCGAGATCAGGAGTTCAAGGCCAGCTATAACTACATAGTGACATGGTGAATTTAGGAACAGACTGAAGTGTGTGTGTGTGTGTGTGTGTGTGTGTGTGTGTGTGTGTGTGTGTGTCTGTCTGTCTGTCTGTCTATATCTCTGCCTCTCCCTCCCTGTCTTTTCTAAGCAGAGAAGGAGCAAGCCAGGAGAGTGGTTGAAAGGACAAAGGCCAAGGTGTAGAGAACACTCCAATTCATTAGGATGAGTGTGACTAGTGGTTTCCTACTAGGTGATGCTCCAGCAACTGTGTAAAGCAGCAAGGGTGCTCCGGGTACAATCTCTACTTTCCCTTCTGCCCCTCAAACACACAGCACCCTCAGCTCCCATTTGATTGTCCCAATCCTCGGAGCCAAACAAGCTTGCCTTCTGCTCCAAAAAGAGACTTCTTTCTTTCCAACATAATTTCTTTGGGTTTCCCCAGTCACCCAGGTGATGAGCTGACTAATTTCATTCTCCATAATTTCTAATCCCCCTAAGAAGCATTTGGACAGCCTCGCTCCCAGACTATCTAGGCATAATTTTAAGCATGTCATCTTCTATTATGCTCTGTCTGATACAGCCCCAGCCACACACACACACACACACACACACACACACACACACACACACACACCTAACCTTTGAGTTGTGAACACACAGAACCACACCACAGCTTCATATTTTCCATCTTCTCTCTTCACCTTTCTAAACTTTACAGTCATTTCAAGCTGAGTAAAGCACAAAGCTATTACTTCAAGAGAACATAGAATAGCAGAGGAAACTGTGAGTACTTGAAGCTATAATTCACAGGTCAATAAATAGGAATGACTTCTCTGGGGAAAATGGGACATAGTCACATTTTCAAATTTCAAGCAATAGAACTGGAAATCAAAATGTGAGCTGTGCCTCCACTATCTCCAGGCCTTGGATAAGAGTCTGGATGTCCATGTGAGCACTCATTATACTACCATGGGAGGTTTGGGCAGCCTGTGCCCCATATATGTAGAAGCATTTCCCATACAGAGATTCCTTTTCAAAAATATATTCACTCTGACTGATTTGCCAAAGGGAGAAAGACAATCATTAGAAATTAGTTTTGTCGGTTATTTAGAGTAGATTATTCTTAGCTACAAGACATGAGACCTCAGGCCTTTAGAATTCAACTTGCTGTTTGAGAATGGGACTTTTGAGATGTCTCTTTATATAAAAATTTTACCATGCAACAGAGTTTTACAAATATTTCTAAGGGAGGAGAGTCTCACCTCACAGTATTCTGTAATAATGCAAAAAGTATCCTGTTCCATGAAGCTTGCATGGAACTTGACAATGGCTGGATGATTTAGCTTGGAGAGGAGCTGGGCTTCCACACTGGCCTGCACAGTTTCATTTGGATTTAACTCTCCAACAGAGATTTCCTTCAGTACCTTCCTGCAGCCAGAGAGAGAGAGAGAGAGAGAGAGAGATTAAGACTGAGAAGTGTGTTTAACGCATACGAGCAAGTGGTACATAGCCCCATCACTATGCCAGCAGCGGCTTAGGGTCTAGTTCTGCCTGCGGTATTGAAGCCCTGGGCCCCTTTCTGTCCTGACCAGTACCGTGGTGTTCCACAGCCTCTGACCAGCACACCGTGCCCTCTAATTATCAGGGCAGACATGGAAGCTGGAACACTACTGCTGGGCTGCTCCTCCTCCATCTCGGGAGACATTTGCTTTTCTTCACAGAATCTGTTTCCATTTCTGTATATCGTCTTGTCTGTATCTGCTTACCTACACTCATCACTACTTTTCGATTTTGTCTGTCTTATCATCGTCCTCCTTCCTCTACTCTTTTATCTACATTTCACTCTGCCGTGTACAGACTCACTCTCCCTCCCTCCTTCCCTCCCTCTCTCCCTCTAGCTCTCTCTCTCTTGCTCTTGCTCTCACTCTCTCTGCTCTCAAATGTTCCTAAATCTATCAATTGTATGTCAGTCTGTATGCACCATATGTATTTCTTCTCTCCTAACTGCCTGCTTCGTTGCTAGCAGGATTTAAGAAGACAAAGTTTTTTGGTGTTTTTTTTTTTTGTTGTTGTTGTTGTTGTTGTTTTGTTTTCTTTTTAACCAAAAACACTGATAGAGTCTCTATCATGGATAAATGGGGGGGGGGCACTCATTAAATTTCCAAATCATTAATTTAAAAATTGTGATGGAACCATGAGGAGTGGACCAAAATACTACCTCTCCCCATCCAAGGGGGGTGGGGGGAGCCTGAGGAGCAAACCAATTATAGTGCCGCACCGTAAAGTAGATCGCCTGGGGACGGCACTTTAGCACGCCAATTACGCTGTGCAGACAGATGCCGCTGATTGCCAGGGATTCTGACTGCTCATTAAGGCAAGTTCTGTAAGGCTCCTGCTAGAAAACACTTTGCAGAAACTATTAAGAGTTACTACCTTGGCATATTAGTTGAAACTCTTAATTAAAGCCACCTCGTAGACTGGCCGCCGGACTCCAGTCATGTCGAGCTGGTGCTCACTCTGTCGTTGCCAGATGGAGTACCCAAAGCTGGCAGACTCTCTGGCATGCCCGTGGACTCCGGTCCTTCTGCTTAGGAGACGTGTTTACCCAAACGAGTGGGTGTAGTCCCAGTCCTGTTTATGCAATTGTGTTGTTATGAATTTACATATGATAAAACTGATGGAAGATTACTACCAGTTTACCCTTGCAAGAAAATAGAAATGAGAAGCTTATCAAAAAAAAAAAAAAAGTGACAACTGACAAGGGGCAAAAATCACACTTAATGGGGTAAGCTTGTAAAACTCCGTGTGGACTCAGATTTTGGAGTTCTCAATTTATCCTGTAGGAGATAAACTTGGAAAAGTAGCCAATGTGGGTCTGTTCTATGAAAAAAAAAAAAAAAAAAAAGATGGAGAATCTAACCAAAGGATTTTAGATTTTTAACAATACATGGTAAAGTTGGAGATGTGAAATGTTTGAAATTTCTCTTTCAGTGGATGTCATTCCAATCTACTAATTGTTTCTTCTATACAGCTAGGTATCAGCCCCAATTGTATTGAACGGGAAGGCTTCTATCAATCTTTAAAACGTGTGCTGCAAGCATTCACTCAGTCTTTCTCACCAGCTGTGTGACTGAAAGAGCAGCTGTTGCCTCAGGCGGCGCTAGACCTGGCTGCTCAGTCAGACTTGGGGCTCAGAAGCTTTGAGGTTGCAGTCAGAGCACCACTGTGTACTTCTGAGTGACAGTCTGCGGTTTAAATGTTTGCAGTCACACCAGAAAGTTCGGGACCGGAGATCCTTCAGGATCGACTGCGCAAGCATGGGGACCTAAGCTTGGATCTCTAAGTGTCAGGTATGATCTGAGTATGATGGACGAGAGGATCCGTGGGGGCTTGCTGGCCAGCCAGTCTAGCTAACCGGTGAATTCTAAGTTCAGTGAGAAAGCATATCTCAGGAAGGGAGGTGAAGAAGTAATGGAGAAAGACATCTCCATGCCTCCCTCTGCCCTCCTTACACGCCTGCATGGATGTACACACACACCCATGCACACACACATGCACTCAAGCACACATGCACACGTGTGCTCATGCACATAAACACACACCACAAACTGAAAATTCTAAGTCACAAACTCTGCCCTCCATGTTGAGAGTGTAAATACAAAAATTTGAAAAGTGTTTGCATCCTCTGGCATTAGGAGATTGACATTTGACTTTTCTTCCTGACCCATACACACACAGACACACACACACACACACACACACAGATACACACACACATGCGCATGTGCGCACGCACACACACACACACAGCCACACACACACAGATACACGCACACGCGCACGAGCGCACACACACACACACACGCACAGACACACACAGATACACACACACACACCTCATGTTTATTCTCCAGACTCTAAGAACAAAACCCTTCTACTCTGAACAAACATCATTGAGAATTAAATTTCTTACAGTGTAAGCTCGTTAGCATGTTCACTTTAAAGGTTCCCGCAGCCCATTCATTTTAAGCTCATCTCACGCCCAACAGAAAACTGTCACCTCCCACCAAGAACACATGAATTGTGGCAGGCCTGGGCTCTCTGGAAGGGGTGCACAGGCTTTGGGCTCTACTTTCCCACTTACAGGAGGCTTTCAGTGTGTGGTAACTTTAAAAATCATTTAAACATTTGGTTCTCTTCTCTAACACAAGTGCACTCGTGTTGGCTTCATTAGATGCTAAAAAGCCTGCTAGACCCCTTTCTTGAGAATGAAGTAACTTCTACAGAAATACATGGTGGGTAGGAATCTACAGAAAAACTATTTTCCTAAGAAATAACAGTAAATAAATAATAATAAGAGGGAGGGATAGGCCTGTTTTCAGAACTGGCACCTCAGGCTGCTAATAAGCCCAAAAGAAAAAAAAAAGAAAGATATATAAAGACACATTTTCTTCTCTAGCTTCTGAAGGGTACACAGCAGCAGGCAGTTTAATGACGTCTTCATAGTGTTTCACTAATTTACCATGCCCTGGCTGGCATGCAGCTGTAAAAGTCACAGTGGTTAAGTATGTTAATATAGAAGCCTCACTCAGACTTGTAATGTTCTCTAGCTGTGAAGGAACATGCGCTATAAAAAGCTTGAGCACGCTTATTTTCCAGGCAAGCACCAGCTACTACACAACAGAGCATGAGATTTTCCACGGGGTTCTGCCTAGTCCCTGTCTGACCACCCAGTGATAAAGCCTAAGACTGTATTTGCCCAGAGCTTAGCAGATGAAGCTGGGGCTATCAGAACCATATCGTCTCTAGGGGACACAGACACATTCTTCCTTCCTTGCCTAAAATCATATTGCTGGACCAATAGGAAGAACTCTTATAGCTTATCAGTGTGGGAACTGTATATCCACTGAAGACGGCATGGAAATGTGCCAAGTCAAAGGCAGCTTAGCATTTGCTCAATGGTTTTCAGCCTGTCCACCTCTTCCTATATGACATGATAGGTACTTATTTTTATCAAAGTCTTGACTGTTTGGGGGAGGCTTTATGACAGCAGAAAGAAGAGCTGTCCCTGAAGACCCAGCTCGTTCTGCAAACCCCTCTTCTCCTGCCTGAGTGGCATGTTGCTTTCTAGAGCTTGTAAACTGACAAACTCTGGAAAGTGATTTTCAAAATTTGGGATAACGGTCGACAATTTGTTTCCCCTGAAATCAGTTCACTGTTTCTATCAATGAGACAGATAGATGGCGTTTTTGAGAGATTAACCATGCATTATCTCCCCCCCCCCAAATGTCTGTGTGTTCTTCCACAATCTTCTGCTTCAGGAAGCAGACACTGCCTCGGGACCAAGAGAGAAACACTACACAATGTAACTCACATCTCAGGCCCTTGGGTCTCCAGGAGACGAGATAAGCCTGAAACACAGGAATCTGGAGTGACTCCTGGCCAGTGAATGAAATGAATGAACTGTCCCCACTCTCAGAAGAAGAGGCACTCTGGACCAGGGCAGTGTGAGAGGGTCAGGACACAGGAAGGAAATGGAGCCCTTTGCAGCCCTTGGAATCAGCTGAGATGCTGGAGGCCAGGACTAGGAGGGAGCTACACCTAGAAAGCAGAAAGCCCGCACACTCTTTCCAAAACATCACAGTGCATAAACCCGCATTTTCTGTGTCCAGCTGTAGAAGGGCCTTCAAGCAGTATGTGAACACGTGTGTCCCAGAGAACCCTGGGATATCCAGGATCCTGTGTGAGCCTGGCCTGAGCACTGGAGGTGGAAATGGCCTCTGGTAATAGCAGCATCTCAGAGAGGCCTGCAAGGGCAATGGATGCAGCCAGACAGCTGGCCAGTATGCTTAGGGAAAGCCAGGGTCCTTTCCTTTGTGGTTTAGCCACCGACATCCAACTGTATGTGGTAGTGAACACCCATCCGAGGAGCACTGCCACGTGAGATGATGCAGTACAAATACAGGCTTTTAAAACCTTAAACTGAGGTGGATGCTTTGACAGTGGGGTGGAGTATCTGAGGTCTTCTGACGCCAGGACTAGGACGGCAACGTGTTAAGACAAAATCGCAGGAAATAGATTTTAACTTTAACTAAATAAGAAGTTCGGAGTTTTGTTTGTTTTTTAAAATTCAGAAAAAAAAAAAAAGAGTTTTAAGACAGACCTTTCCCGTCAGTTTAAGGCAATGACTATTTTATACGCCTTTCTTAAACAGGAGAACCTCCGTTTGCTTGCTTCAGCTTGCACGAGCCATCGCTGCTGCACATACCTGTCTTTGCAGCAGCCCTGCGTCTTCACACAGCTTCCTCACGTCGAAGCAGATCCCTGGGATGTGAATTCAGCCTGCTCCAGCTGGCAAACACAGACCCCCGCCCCACCTGTAACACACACACACACACACACACACACACACACACACACACACACAC